GGTGTCGTCTCCTGTGTAGGATCAAAGTGCAGCCACCAGACACTTCTGGAACATTCCAGGACTCCCGAGCCCCCCAAGGTGGTCTCGGTGGCTCGGCATCTCAGGACTGAGATCTTGAGATCCGACAGAAAAGCTCCGAGCTGGAGCAGACCACCAAGTGCAACCACCAAGCCATGTCCTCAGGAGGGCCAGCAGGCTGCTGGGTTTCCTGTTTCCCTGCCCGTGAGCCTCAGCTGGCCTGCTCTGATGACGCAGGGCTGTGGTTTCCCCTCTGCTCTGTGCACCTCCATCTCCTCCTCAGCCTCCTCTGTGCTCTCACTTCCCCACAGCCAGCAGGAAATCTCTGGTCACAGCAGCTCCACTCGTCTGCTAAAGCCAGAGGTCTCTTGCAACCTCTGTGTTCAGCATGTCCAGCTAAGAAATGGATTAAAACCCAAAAATATTGGATTTTTGTAGGATATATTTACCACACAGGGCTTTTAGGGACTTAAGTCTAACCACTGCTTAATGTGGTTAATGATGGTTAAAAGTGAGCAAGGCCATTTTTACATCCGTGGGAAAGTGGAGCTACAATGGTTTCAAAACTCCAAGTTCCAGTATCCAGAATTTGCTGGAATATTTATTAAATAATAACTTTGCTCTCTCTTTAACAAAAAATTCTGATTTCAGCGTGATGCCACTGAACTCAGCAGATGGTGAGCAGTGAAGTGCAGAGGACAAAGACTCTGCTTTCCAGTGGATCTGAAAAGTTGCCATCCACTTCTTTGACAGCAGCTGAAAAAACCCAACAATCCCAAACTGAGCAATGAAACACTTTTCTTTTCCCCCCTCTTTTTTCCTTTTACCTCTCAGTTGAATTTTGCATGTTATTCCATTTCCCTGGTGATTAATAAAGACCAAAATAACATCTCTAAAGAAAAGTTGGGGGCTTCAGATGGCTGGATTTGCTTCCAAGTGCTGCAGGCTGTGCCACGAGCTCTGTGCACGTGACAGATTAATTTATAAATTAATTAATTAATTTATAAATTAAATTTATAATTGTATATAATATGTATTATATAAA